AACAGGCATTGTGAATGGCCCGAGCCATAACAAAAACAAACAAACTTCTAAAATGTAGGTTAAGTTGAATTAATTTAAGGGGGTTTAATCAATATATAATTAATTCAGAGAATCTTAAGGCACTTTTCCAGTTTCAGTTAATAATTATACAATTAAAGTAACGTAACTTGATCACTCTCCGTTACCTTCTGGATTACCTCATCACCAAATATGTAAATAAAAACAAGAGAAAAGGGGGAAAAGGAAGTATTGATTGTAAGTGTATCCTATAAGACAACAGAACAATATAATATTAGAAAATAAAATATAAAACTGAACTGACCTCTGCCCACTGTAAAGCTGTTATTGTAATCCTGAAAAATAACCCCCATTTTTAGGTGTAACTGTCTTTTTCCTGTAACTGTAATGTAAAATTAAACGTAAAAATAACATTAAATAAATATTAATCACATTTGTTTTATATTTAAAAGCCAAACTTAAAGATTTTATTTATTTTTTGAAAAAAGTCGACCGTTATTTTTTTTTACCTACGTCACCTTTGACCCGATGCGCGCGCCCGACGTCAAATCAGTGCCCGGGAAGCGCGCGCGCTGTCCTGTAGCGGAGGAGCGGAGCTGACGGTTGGACATTTAACTCTCTAACGGTCGTTCTAACGGTCGTTCTAACGGTCGGTTTAACGGTCGTCCCCACGATGTGAAGTTTTAACGGAGGTTTTTATCGCCCCGACGGACCCAGCGGAGCGACATGAACCGGGAGAACCGGGAGAACCGGAGCGAGAAACTGCGATAATCCCGCTGTGATTCTCCCACCGACGGGGGCCGTTAGTGCGGCTGTTTGATCCGCTGCCGCCCGGAGATATGGACCCCGTTTTATCTGCTTTAATGTCGAATAAAAGTGTGAATTACCGACCGGAGTAAGTGCAGTTTGAACCGGAGCCTGTGTATGGAGGACCCGCAGCTCCACTGTCCATAAAGCCACTACTACAACCATGTATGCGGGACGCAAACGGAGAAAACCGGCGCACAAGGGGTGAGTTATAGTTTATTAATGTTAATTAAAGAGCAATAAAGTAGTTCTCATTAAGCACCGACATAAGAGCAGGGCGGGAAGGAAAACAGACATTTATTCTGGGATATTGTTTCATTCTTAAAGCACTTTATCGATGTGTTTAATTAAAGGTCCAGCCAATAGAGAACAGGGCTTTAAATGGACTTTATATTAATTATATAATATTATTAATTAGTATTAAAGGAGTCTTACGTTATTATAAAGACAAAGTTCCTCAATAATGTATAAAATAATGTGAAGTTTCTCATTATAACAACTTACTGACTCTGATATTATTGTGTATGTGAGACAACAAAACAGTTTATATCTCCACTTTTAACAAATAAATAAAATCTAAATGTTTCTTAGTGTGTGTAATGTATTTATAATGCAGTGTGTGCAGGTAACAGTAAGGTTTGTATATCTCTCATTATATCACCACAGAGTCAAACCGACCCCAGCCGAAGGCGCCAAGTCCAACCCGTCCAAACGCCACCGGGACCGCCTGAACTCGGAGCTGGACCGGCTCGCCAGCCTGCTGCCCTTCCCCGAGGACGTCGTCTCCAGCCTGGACAAACTGTCCATCCTGCGGCTCAGCGTCAGCTTCCTGCGCACCAAGAGCTTCTTCTCCGGTAGGAAACCACCGGCTGACTGGGAACATCAGCTGGAACCAGTACAGACTCCCTGTGGGTCCAAAACACTGCACTCAGACTGGAGGATGGGAGGATGGGAGGATGGGGGAGGATGGGAGGATGGGGGAGGATGGGAGGAGGCTCTGATTAAGACGTAGTAAAGGATTGTCTTTGTCGAGGAGTTAGCAGATTACAGACGCAGCAGATGGATTTTGGGTTGTGTGTGTGTGTGTGTGTGT